GGGCAGCCGCCGGGAGGCCAGCCGCTGGCACAGCACTGCCCGCAGCACCCCTCGGCCTCAGCTGGGCAAACATCGTGCGTGCCTGGGAAAACGCTCGGAGGACGTACCGTGGCACCACGACGAAACACTGACCAGTGCCCGAATCCGCAGGGAGCAGCTGCGGAACCACGGTCAAAGCAACACACTTTTTTTGAGGTGACTTATCCACCGGGCACTTCTGCAGCTGGCAGAGGAGGGCTCGGGGCTCCAGCACGGATTTCCACAAGTGCTGGGACTCAGGGAAGTTCTGGGGACCTGGAGGAAAACGGCTTCTGCACCAGCAAGAGGAGAGAACCCTGTCAGCCCCCGGCACCGCGTGCCGACTGCAGCCGCGGGGGGAATGGTCGAAGCGCAGGGCTTGACTTATATCCTGTTCTTTAAATCTTTTATTAACATGTGGCTTGTCAAAACCAGACCCTGTCAAGCTACCAATCTTTTTGGTACAATAATTTCAGTCGATAATTATAATAATACTGGTGTAGCAGACATGTTTAAGAGATCTGAGTCAGTCTGGCCCACATGAGTTACAAAAACTCAAAAGATATAAAATCAGACGGTGCAGCAGCATGATTTTAAATCACCCAGGTGACACATTTCAAGAGTAATTATAAATGTTGAAACAACATCAGACAGGCTTGTTTCTTACGATGGTTGCTCACAGCCCTTTACTAGTAAACCTCTACATTCATTCCAAAAGAAAATTAACCATTTCTACTACAGTCTACTACAGTCTGTATGGCAATGCAAAGGTGAGAAAACAGTAACGAACATTGAGGACTGATAATTGAACAGATTGATTAAGGTCTGCTGATAAGCTCAGTATATTAAAGCAAAGCACTTTTCATTGCAAGTGGATATATCAAGCAACTGAACAAGTGAGCCGCATTCAACAAAGGTCGACCTCCATCCTCGGCAGCCCGAACTCGCACCAAAAGCTGATGGAGAAACGCAGAGGCCTGAGCCGGCAGCACGGTTCAGTGGAGACAAGACTAACTGGAGCCCGAGTCGTGGGAAGGAGGAAAACACCGGCCCGGAGAGCATCCTGCCACCGCCTTTAAGCACCGATGCTGCTGACACCGGGAAAGCCGTGATTAGCCGTCCCCGTCCGAGGGAGGCGTGCGGCTGCAGAGGCCATGAGAACGGCAAAGAGCAGGCAACACACTCGGGAGCACGGAAGGGAAGAGTTTCACCTAAAGCACTGTGCAGAAGGCTAAAGGCTTATTAAGGCACAGCCAACAAATACCCACGGTGCGGACAGAAATTCCATAGAAGCAGGTTTTCCAGCCCAGCAAGCAAAGCCGTAACAAAGATGCAGTTGCTGGAAATCAAGGAGAGACAAGATGAAAAAGAAGGTACATGTATCACAACATGGAACGTAAGTAACTGCTGCAACGGTGCGGCAAAAATGTGTTAGATTGCACTGCTGGAAATGCATCGATATCAAATGTTTTTGTAAGAGATGAGCTCTACTCTAACCACCTTGCAGCCACAGCCACGGCACCTCATAGCCACAGCCGATGGCACCCCGCAGCCCCGGCCC